TCTGTGGATCACCTGAAGATTAGCCACACCCACCCTAGCTTAGGTTAGGGAAGTTAATATTAAGGTGAGATAAGCTGGGGGCTAATTTCCAGTTCATTCATTCTTCTTAAAGACGTAGCCTCCTCCTCCTTCTCCTCCTCTGTCTTCTTCTCCTCTTTTTCTTCCTCCCTCTCTTCTTCCTCCCCCTTCTCTTTCTCCTCTTCCCCCTTCTCTTCTTCCTGCTCCTCCTCCATCTTACCCTACTTCTCATCCTCCTCTTTAAAGACGCACCCTTCTTGCGCCGTTAAAGACAATGTGCGCCTGTCAGTGGAGGTGTGTGTGTGTGTGTGTGTGTGCAGTGTTTACGTTAAGACAACTCCATCTGTGTGTGTGACTCAAGACAAACCATCGTACAGTACTTTAGTTTCTGACTCCTTCAAGATAAGCTGTTTCCCCTTCAAGACAACCTCCTTTCCTTTAAGACAACCGTATTGGGTTTTTTTTACCGTGTTACATACAGTACATCAGCTGCTGGACCGTCGAGGTTAGGTTAAGTTAGTATTAGGTTAAATTATGTTTAGGTTAGTGTTATGTTATGTTGGGTTAATATTAGGTTAGGATAGGTAAGATTAGGATAGATAAGCGTAGGATAGATTAGGTTAGGTTAGGTTAGACTAGGTTAGGTTAGGAGATTCTACAGGTGATCCTCTCATATATTTATACAGTAGATATATTCTGACGTCATCACTTACGAGAGATATTTACCCTACGAGTCTCTGTGAACCAGGACTCGACCGACCGATCCAATTACCCAGAGTTCATGTGATTGCTGTTATTATTTCGCATTAATGATTCACTGATTACATTACGGTGTATCCAACAGTATTTTATTTATTTATTTATATTGTTTATTTTTCTGTAATAGCTTTTAATTTGATTCCTTATTTGTTTTTGTATTGAAATATATGATTTTTTTTTATGAAAGAAGAGTTGCCAGATATCTCCGAGTGTTCTAACATGGGTAAACAAAGGTTGCCAAGTACCACCAGACACAGAGGCCTTGTGACAATTTTAGTATGCATGGGTTTGTAAAGCGGAAACAGGCTATATTAACTATCCCAATTCTCAGGGGACTGTAAGATCCACCTCCCCTCCCCTCCCAAACCCCTCCCCCCCCACACCCCGCCCTTCCCCACCCACACCCCGCCCTTCCCCACCCACACCCCGCCCTCGCTGACCCAACACTTGCACTAGCAGGAAGGAAGAACCGCTGACAGAGTAGTAATGGGCACTCACGTCTCGACCAAGCTATAGTCCTGAAATCCGATATTCACTAACACGATAAAAGACTCACCCGCTCTAGTGTGTAAGACCCGGTTAAGAGGCTCGCTATATTGAGGTGAGTGCCAGGACGCTCGCTTAAGTGAATCTATATTTTGCAGCGCTTAAACTGGTGTGTTCTCAAGATAGGTTCACTAATAGAGTAGGTTCGGTAAGGTGCTAAGATAGGTCCGAGTAGGTGGGGGGGGTTATGCTAAGATAGGTCCGATAAGGTGTGGGGTATGCTAAGATAGGTCCGATAAGGTGGGGGGTATGCTAAGATAGGTCCGATAAGGTGGAGAGTATGCTAAGATAGGTCCGATAAGGTGGGGTATGCTAAGATAGGACTGATAAGGTGGAGAGTATGCTAAGATAGGTCCGATAAGGTGGGGGTATGCTAAGATAGGTCCGATAAGGTGGAGGGTATGCTAAGATAGGTCCGATAAGGTGGGGGTATGCTAAGATAGGTCTGATAAGGTGGAGAGTATGCTAAGATAGGTCCGATAAGGTGGGGGTATGCTAAGATAGGTCCGATAAGGTGGGGGGTATGCTAAGATAGGTCCGATAAGGTGGGGGTATGCTAAGATAGGTCCGATAAGGTGGGGTATGCTAAGATGGGTCCTCGATAAGGTGGAGAGTATGCTAAGATAGGTCCGAGTAGGTGGGGGGGGTTATGCTAAGATAGGTCCGATAAGGTGTGGGGTATGCTAAGATAGGTCCGATAAGGTGGGGGGTATGCTAAGATAGGTCCGATAAGGTGGAGAGTATGCTAAGATAAGGTCCGATAAGGTGAGGGTATGCTAAGACAGGTCCGATAAGGTGGGGGTATGCTAAGATAGGTCTGATAAGGTGGAGAGTATGCTAAGATAGGTCCGATAAGGTGGGGGGTATCTAAGATAGGTCCGATAAGGTGGGGGGTATGCTAAGATAGGTCCGATAAGGTGGGGGGGTATGCTAAGATAGGTCCGATAAGGTGGGGTGCTAAGATGGGTCCGATAAGGTGGAGAGTATGCTAAGATAAGTTCGATAAGGTGGGGCATGCTAAGATAGGTCCGATAAGGTGGAGAGTATACAAGATAGGTCCGATAAGGTGGGGTATAAGATAGGTCCGATAAGGTGGGGGGTATGCGAAGATAGGTCCGATAAGGTGGGCGGTATACAAGATATTAGGTCCGTTAAGGTGGGGGGTATGCAAGATAGGTCCGATAAGGTGGGGGTATGCTAAGATTGGTCCGATAAGGTGGGGGGTATGCTAAGTAGGTCCGATAAGGTGGGGTGTACTAAGATAGGTCCGATAAGGTGGGGGTATGCTAAGATACAGATAAGGTGGGGGGCCTGAGATAGCAGGGTCGATTGGGGATATGCTAAATGGGATACAGTAGGTCGATAAGGTGGGGAGAATTTATGATACAGTAGGTCCGATAAGGTGGGGGTATGCTAAGATAGGTCCGATAAGGTGGGGGTATGCAAGATACAGTAGGTCCGATAAGGTGGGGGGTAGCATAGTCCGATAAGGTGGGTCTGAGATACAGTAGGTGGTGGGGGATGCTAAGATACAGTAGGTCCGATAAGGGTGGGGGGTATGCTGGATAGGTCCGATAAGGTGGGGGTATGCTAAGATAGGGGTCGATAAGGTGGGGTATGCTAAGATAGGTCCGATAAGGTGGGGGTATGCTAAGATAGGTCCGATAAGGTGAGGGTATGCTAAGATAGGGTCCGATAAGGTGGGGGTATGCTAAGATAGTCCGATAAGGTGGAGAGTATGCTAAGATAGGTCCGATAAGGTGGGGGGTATGCTAAGATAGGTCCGATAAGGTGGGGGGCTAAGATAGGTCCAAGCTAAGATAGGTCCGATAAGGTGGGAATATGGCTAAGATGTGGTCCGATAAGGTGGAGAGTATGCTAAGATAAGTTCGATAAGGTGGGGGTATGCTAAAGGGTCCGATAGAGGTGGAAGTATGCTAAGATAGGTCCGATAAGGTGGGGTATGCTAAGATAGGTCCGGATAAGGTGGGTATGCTAAGATAGGTCCGATAAGGTGGGGCGTATGCTAAGATATTAGGTCCGTTAAGGTGGGGGGTGGTATGCTAAGATAGGTCCGATAAGGTGGGGTATGCTAAGATTGGTCCGATAAGGTGGGGGTATGCTAAGATATTAGGTCCGATAAGGTGGGGAGTATGCTAAGATAGGTCCGATAAGGTGGGGGTATGCTAATACAGTAGGTCCGATAAGGTGGGGGTATGCTAAGATAGGTCCGATAAGGTGGGGTATGCTAAGATAGGTCCGATAAGGTGGGGTATGCTAAGATACAGTCGGTCCGATAAGGTGGGGGTAATGCTAAGATAGGTCCGATAAGGTGGGGGTATGCTAGATACAGTAGGTCCGATGGGTGGGGGGATAAGTGGCTGGAAGATACAGTGGGTCCGATAAGGTGGGGGTATGTAAGATAGGTCCGATAAGGTGGGGGGTACAGAAAGTGGGGGTATGCCAAGATAGGTCCGATAAGGTGGGGGATGGTAGTAGGTCCCAAGATAGGTCCGATAAGGTGGGGGTATGCTAAGATACAGTAGGTCCGATAAGGTATGCTAAGATAGGTCTGATAAGGTGGGGGTATGCAAGAAGGTCCGTCCGATAAGGTGGGGGTATGCTAAGATAGGTCTGATAAGGTGGGGTATAGGTCCGATAAGGGGGGGTATGCTAAGATAGGTCCGATAAGGTGGGGGGTATGCTAAGAAGGTCTGATAGTGGGATAAGGTGGGGGGTATAGGTCTAAGATGTTGGGTCGATAAGGTGGGGGTATGCTAATAGTAGGTCCGATAAGGTGGGGGTATGCTAAGATAGGTCGGATAAGGTGGGGGGTATGCAAGATATGTAGGTCCGATAAGGTGGGGGGTATGCGATAAGGTCTGGATAAGGTCCTGGATAAGGTGGGGGTATGCTAAGATACAGTAGGTCCGATAAGGGTGGGTGGGGTATGCTAAGATGGGGTCTGATAAGGTGGGGGTATGCTAAGATACAGTAGGTCCGATAAGGTGGGGTATGCTAAGACAGTAGGTCCGATAAGGTGTATGCTAAGATGGGTCGATAAGGGGGGGTATGCTAAGATACAGTAGGTCCGAGGGTGGGGGTATGCTAAGATACAGTAGGTCCGATAGGTGGGGTATGCTAAGATATAGGTCCTAAGATAGGTCTAAGATAGGTGATTGATAGGTCCGATAAGGTGGGGTATGCTAAGATACAGTAGGTCCGGATAAGGTGGGGGTATGCTAAGACAAGGTCCGATAAGGTGGGGGGTATGCAGCAGGTCCGATAAGGTGGGGGGTATGCTGTTATTGTATGTCAATCTCTGTGTTTACAAATATCTGTTGTGTTTCTTGAGGTTTATTGTGTGTGTGGCCAGGGAGGGTGTTTACTGATGGCGTGACAGCTACTCACCACAGACAGCCCACTACAGCCACACCAAGCCACCTCACCACAGCACACAGCCACCACAGCCACCATACCTCACCACAGCCACCTCACCACAGCCACCTCTCACCACAGCCACCTCTCACCACCACCCTCACCACAGCCACCTCTCACCACAATCATCCCTCACCACAATCATCCCTCACCACAGCCACCCCTCACCACAGCCACCTCTCACCACAGCCACCTCTCACCACAGCCACCTCTCACCACAGCCTCACTCTCTCCGCCAGTAGCAGCGTAGCGTCGTCTGGCGCAGGGGTGGTCGCAGGCGGCGGCGGCACCAAGGGAGGGTGCGGTAGGTGCGGCCAAGCCTTCTCCATCTTCTTCAACAAGCGGGTGCAGTGCGGCGGCGGCTGTGGCCTACCCGTGTGCCGCAAGTGCGCCCCGTGGAGTACCGCTGCCCAAACCTACGTGTGCGGCGTGTGCTCTACCCAGCAGCCGCAGTCTACCACGCATGCGGCCACCACCACTCCCAAGACCCCTGATGATGGTGAGTATGTCTTAATGAACTCTTATTAGTACTTCACACAGTATGATGATAATACTCTATCTGGTAATAATAACAACATAATCCGTGTACATAATAAGTTATCATAGGAACATGTCAGCTGTGTCAGTCATTCTTAAAGCCTGTTATACTGCCCCAACTGTTACCTCATGACTCATTACTAATTACCTGTTCACCTGTGCCCTCACCTTTTCATCATCTAATTAATTTTCACCTGTCCATCATTTACTAATTAACTGCTCACATGTGTCGCCATTCACCTGTTCATCATCTACTAATTAACTGTTCACCTGTATGTCGTCCACCAGCACACCTGAGACAAGTGGAGGATAGTGTTCGCTCCCACATAGAGGCCTTGGTGGAGTCCCAGGTAGGCGGCCCCCTCGACCAGGTCACCGCCGCCCCCTCCACCACCCAGCCCCACCGTATGTATCTACCGCCCACTCTCACTACCCATGGCCCACCCTCTGTCTCCATGGTCCACCCTCTCTACTCACTTAAAGTAACATATCTAAAGTGGTTTTGTGCTTAAAGTAACATTTCTAGATGACCTCTGTCCTAAAAGTAACATTCCTACGTAACATTAGTAGAGGAACATCGTCTCTGTTTGCTTAACCTAACCTAACCTAACCTAACCCCGTCCGGTAGAGTTGGGTGTTGTTTAATCACCAGGTGAAATAAGGTAGAGGTGGGTTAATCATCAGGTGAACCATTTCTCTTTTATCACCATCTCTCCTGTCTCCCTGTTTCTCACCTGTCTTAATTAATCACTTTTTTCAGACAGGTGTAGCGGACGAGTGTGGGGCGGCTCACTCTATCTATTATTCCACAAAGATTTATGATATTAATGTTAAAGTTTTACTGATATTGTAACTTTGAGAATCTGAGGTGTGGTCACGAATGGTGTGGTCATGAGTGGTTGTGGTCATGAGTGGTGTGGCCATGAGTGGTGTGGTCATGAGTGGTTGTGGTCATGAGTGGTGTGGCCATGAGTGGTGTGGTCATGAGTGGTTGTGGTCATGAGTGATGTGGTCATGATGTGGTCATGAATGGTTGTGGTCATGAATGGTGTGGTCATGAATGGTGTGGTCATGAATGGTGTGGCCATGAATGGTGTGGCCATGAGTGGTGTGGCCATGAGTGGTTGTGGTCAGGAGTGATGTGGTCATGAGTGGGTGGTCGAGTGGTGTGGTCATGAGTAGTTGTGGTCATGAGTAGTTGTGGTCATGAGAAGTTGTGGTCATGAATGGTGTGGTCATGAATGGTGTGGTCATGAGTAGTTGTGGTCATGAATGGTGTGTGGTGGCCATGTGGTGTGGTCATGAGTTGTGTGTGCCATGAATGGTGTGGTCATGAATGGTGTGGTCATGAGTGGTGTGGTCTGATGGAGTTGTGGGTCATGAATGGTGTGGCATAGTGGTGGTCTAGTCAGAGTGTATGGTCATGAGTATAGTATGGTCATGAATGGTGTGGCCATGAGTGGTGTGGTCATGAATGGTGTGGTCATGAGTGGTTGTGGTCAATGAATAGGTGTGGTCATGAATGGATGTGGTCCATGAGGTGTGGTTATGAGTGGTGTGGTCATGAATGGTGTGGTCATGAATGGTGTGGTCATGAATGGTGTGGTCGAGTAGTTGTCGTCTGGTCGTCATGATGGTGTGGGCGAATGGTGTGGTCATGAGTAGTTGTGGTCATGAGTAGTTGTCGTCATGAGTGGTGTGGTCATGAGTGGTGTGGTCATGAGTGGTGTGGTCATGAGTTGTGTGGTCATGAATGGTGTGGTCATGAGTAGTTGTGTCGTCATGTGGTGTGGTAGTGGTGTGGTCATGAGTGGTTGTGGTCGTCGAGTGGTGGTGGTCATGAATGGTGTGGTCCATGAGTAGTTGTGGTGAGTGGTGTGGTCATGTGTGGTGTGGTCATGAGGTCAGTAGTTGTGTGCGTCATGAATGGTGTGGTCATGAGTGGTGTGTTCATGAGTGGTTGTGGTCATGAGTGGTGTGGTGGAGTGGTGTAGTCATGAATGGTGTATGGAGTGGTGTGGTCATGAGTAGTTGTGGTCAAGGAGCGGTGTGTTGAGTGGTGTGGTCGGAGTGGTTGTGGTCATAGTGGTGTGGTCATGAGCGGTGTGTCATAATGGTGTGGTCATGAGTGGTGTGGTCATGGTGGTGGTCATGAGGTCTGAGTAGTTGTGGTCAGTGTGGTCGTAGTGTGTTCAGGAGTGGTGTGGTCATGAGTGGTGGTTCATAGTAGTTGTCAGTCAGTGAGTAGTTGTGGTCGTGAGGGTGTGGTCATGTGGTGTGAGTGGTGTGTTCATGAGTGGTTGTGTCATGAGTGGTGTGGTCATGAGTGGTGTGGTCATGGTAGTTGTGGTCATGGTGGTTGTGGTCTGAGTGGTGTGGTCATGAGTGGTGTGGTGAGTGTGGTCATGAGTGGTTGTGGTCATGGTGTCAGTGTGTGGTCATGAGTGGTTGTGGTGAGTGGTGTTCAGAGTGTGTGAGTGTGTGTGGACGTCCCTCACCACACACACAGGTCCTGGCAGGGAAGGGCCCAGGCAACACGCTTGTGATCCTCAATTATCTCACTCTCAAAACTTGGCCACAAACTTTCCGGGTTACGTCCCTGAGTCGTCCTCGAGGGTCCTCTTTAAAATGGGTCCTTCTCGTGGGTCCTCCTTAAAATGGGTTCTTATCGTAGGTCCTTCTTGTGGGTCCTTCTTAAAATGAGTTCTTATCGTGGGTCCTCCTTGTGAGTCCTTAAATGGGTCCTTCTTGTGGGTCCTCTTTAAAATGGGTCCTTCTCGTGGGTCCTCCTTAAAATGGGTTCTTATCGTAGGTCCTTCTTGTGGGTCCTTCTTAAAATGAGTTCTTATCGTGGGTCGTCTTTAAAATGGGCCCTTCTCGTAGGTCCTTCTTAAAATAGGTCCTTATCATGGATCAGCCTTAGTGAACCATCCTACGGGGGCCTTCTATATATCGACCTTTACTCGCCATGTTGTGTAAGACTTGATGGCGGTGGACCGATGAATGAAGATGAATTCCTCCCCGTCTTCCCTCCTCAGGTTACTATTATTGTATTTTTTTATTTATTTTTTTTTTTAGGGAAGACTTTGATGAATACTGGAGGAGATTAGGTCACTTCTATTGATGTGTTTGAGGATCAAGGTTCGACCCCCCACCAGCCACCACGGTATTAAAGAGTTGCGAGAAGGGGGTAATGGATGGATGTGGTAACTTAACTAACAAAGTCTTTTTCTCTTACAAGCTGCTCTAGTTAATAATGACTTGTATTAAATTAACGTAGTCTCTCGTAGTTACTAACCTAGTCTCTCTCGCAATAACTAACCAAGTATGTCTCTTATACCAACTAACCAAATCTCTCTCTCTCTCTCTCTCTCTCTCTCTCTCTCTCTCTCTCTCTCTCTCTCTCTCTCTCTCTCTCTCTCTCTCTCTCTCTCTCTCTCTCTCTCTCTCTCTCTCACAAGCTGCTCGACTGGACCTCGACAAGATCTCGGAAAACTCCAAGTGGGATCTACTACTTTACTATTACTGTTTCTGTCACGAGGACCAGGAAGAAGGGGGTGTTGCTGCAGCCTCTACTTCTGCTGTCTCCCCTTCTGCTGCCGCTGCCGCCGCCGCCGCTGCTGCTGCTTTTCTCTCTCCTATGGGTGGTACTGTTTTGGTTCTTCTGTTTTTGTCTGTCTCTAACTGCTTGTGTGTGTGTGTGTGTACAGTAATTCGTCTGCTTGGTAATAGTGGTGATGGTGTATATGCTTTTATTCTTTGTCTGCTTTATTTTTGTTTGTTGTCTGCTACCTGCTAACTGTATGTCTGCTTTTGTTACCCGGTACTTTATTTGTCTGATAATGTTTGTCTCCTGTGTTTCTGCTTTTTGTTGTTGATTTTTGTCTGCCTACTGTTACCAATTATCTGCTTTGTTTCTGCTTATGGTTGTCTGCTTATGCCACTTATTTGTCTCCTGTTATTACCATTCGTTTGTTTACTGTTCCTCTTTGTTTTGTTTACTCCTGCTACCGTTTGTCTGTCTGTCTGCTCTGCTACAACATCCACTAGACATGCATCTGCTCGTCTGCTGTGCCATTACGCCTACTTTTTTTTAAATCTACTCTGCTACAAGGCCTACATCTGCTTATCTGCTCTTCTACAAGGTCTACATCTGCTTATCTGCTCTTCTACAAGGTCTACATCTGTATCTGTAATACTACAGGTCTACATCTGTATCTGCTCTTCTACAAAGGCCTCATCTGTATCTGCTCTTCTGCAAGGTCTACATCTGCTTATCTGCTCTTCTACAAGGCCTACATCTGTATCTGCTCTGCTACAAGGTCTACATCTGCTATCACTCTTCTACAAGGTCTACATCTGCTTTCTTCTTTGTTCATTTGCCCTATTTCTGCTGTCTGCTGCTAGACTTGCTATTTCGTCTGCTCATCTACCACCACTCCTGGTCATCGTGAGCCTCCTTGATGTGGGGGAGGGGGTGATCAGTGAGGAAGGGAGGAGGAGGGGGAGTGTAGATGGTGGAGGAAGAGTGGTGGAGGAGAGGGGGGAGGATTACCCTGCCACATGCGCGTAGTGACAAACCTAATTCTGTTTTTGTTTCTATTCAGGTTTATTCGAGTCTTGTTTGTTGATTGTTATTTTGCGTCGACGATTTTGTTTTTGTTTTATAATGATGCTCGTTGATGTAATGATTCTGTTCTAATCTCTAATCTTTACCCTCCTAACCTAATCCTAGTCTTTATTTTAGTCTAGCAATCTAACCTAACCTAACCTACCCTACCCTACCTACCCTACCCCTACCCTACCCTACCTACCTACCCTACCCCTACCCTACCCCTACCTACCCTACCCCTATCATGAATATGTTACTCTCTTGCTGAGGTTGAGCTAACCAAGTAAGCGTCCGGATGTAACAGGATGTGTGTGTGTGTGTGTGTGTGTGTGTGTGTGTGTGTGTGTGAGCACCTGGATATGTTTCATGGTGGGCGTGGCTGCCACCTCCTCCCCCCTAAGTAACCAGGTTTTGTCCACCCGATAATTGGTTGCCAAGGTGAGGTGTCTCCTCTCTCCCCCTCCTCTCCTACCCTCCCCTTCCTTCTGTCTCCCCTTGTCCTCCCTATCACCCCCTCTTCCTCCTCTCGTCACCCCTCCTCTTCCTTCCGTCTTCTCCGTTCCTCCCCTTTCCCCCTCCCATCCTCAGTCCTCCCCCTCTTCCTCTCATTCCCATTCCCCATCCCCATTCCTCCCCCTCTTCCTCTCATCCCCATTCCTCCTCTTCCGCCTAAATCCTTTGTCTTCAGATTCAGACTTTCTTGTTTATGTGACCTTGACAATGGTGACTTGAATTATTAAATCCGGTTTGTGTTCTCGATTACAAATGTTCATCTCAATTGCTTACTCAACCTGTGCCTCAGTTTACAGGTATATTACTCGTTGATTATTTTGTTTACAGGTGAGGTTGAATGTTTTGCATGTTGTAGCGTGTGAGAGAATGTTGTCAGCGAATGTTACCCTTACAGAGAACATTTCTTCCCCTGGATGTTGGGTACGATGCATGTGGCTGACGTTTCTGTTGCTGCTGACGTGCTCATTAAATGCTGACGTCGATGTGTTTATTAATGATATTGCCGTGCATGTTGATGTTGACGTGCATGTTGATGTTGACGTGCATGTTGATGTTGATGTGCATGTTGGTGTTGCATGTTGCAGAGAGGAGCCTGTTCAGCAGACACCACGGGGCCCTCAGCCAGGCCATCGCTCACCTCTCCTACTCCCTGCAGATGTCCATACTGAGTAAGTGGGGGGCCAGAGGGGGTGAGGCGAGGGCGAGGGGAGGGGGTGTGTTTTAGTTGAGAGAACAAGAGGGACGAGAAGAGGGAGGGAGGTGTTTGGGGAGAGAATCAGGGGAGGGGGAGGAGTGTTTGGAGTGAGAACAAAGAGAGGGACAGAGAGAAGAGGGAGGGAGGTGTTTGGGGAAGAATCAGGGGAGGGAGGGAGGAAGGGGGTGTTTGGGTGAGAACAAGAGGGACGAGAAAGAGGGAGGAGGGTGTTTGGAGAAGAGAATCAGAAGTGTTTAGAGAGAATCAGAAGTGTTTGGGTGAAGAACAGAGGGACGAAGGGGAGGAGGGTGTTTGGGAAGAATCAAGGGAGGTGTTTGGGGAAGAATCAGGATGTTTGGGAAGAATCAGGGGAGGGAGGAGGAAGAAGGGGGGTGTTTGAATTTGATGATCAGAGGCAAAGGCAAAGGGGGCATGAGGATATTAATGAGGCGAGCAAAGGTAGACAGAAGTGAGGGAGTAGGAAGGAAGGAGAGAACATTTGGGCGAGGGTGGGGTTATGTTTAGCGAGGTTAAGTTAGGTTAGGTTTGGTTTGGTTTAGGTTAGGTTAGGTTTGGTTTGGTTTGGTTAGGTTGAGTTAGGTTTGGTTTGGTTAGGTTGGGTTAGGTTGGGTTGGGTTAGGTTGGAGTTGGGTTTGGTTTGGTTCGGTTGGGTTATGTTGATTAAAAGGTATAGGCTAAGTTGATGATTTACGTTAGACTTGTGTTTGGGTTGGGTTAGGTTGGGTTAGGACCAAGTTAAGGTTTGGTTAGGTTAGGTTTGGTTTGGTTTGGTTAGGTTAGGTTAGGTTAGGTTAGGTTTGGTTTGGTTAGGTTAGGTTAGGTTAGGTTTGGTTAGGTTAGGTTAGGTTAGGTTATGTTGATTAAGGTATAGGCTAAGTTGATGATTTACGTTAGACTTGTGTTTAGGTTGGATTATTTTACGGTTGGGTTAGATTAGGCTGGGTTGAGTTTGGTTAGGATGGGTTAGGTTAGGTTTGGGTTGGGTCAAGGTTGGCTTAAGTTAGGGTGGGTTGGATTAGGTTAGGTTGGGTTGGATTAGGTTAGTTTTGGTTAGATTAGGGTTGGGTTAGCTTACAGTTAAGTTAGGGTTGGATTCGATTAGGTTAGGTCTGTTCTCTTTCTCAGTAAATTAAAAAAATAGTATTAATATTTTTTTTAAGTAACTACAAACTTGTCTTCATTTAACTAATACCTAAAGATCTACTAATCCCCTTGACACTACCACCACCTTCTCGACTCTCACAGCAAGACGGGATACAGTGTTATGTCTTAGAATAAATAGTTTAGTTTATGTTGATGTACTAAAAATATTACTTTATTATCTTCTGTTAATGTTTTTATCTTATGGTCTCTGTATGTTAAATTGTTAGGAATATATTGACGTTACCATTATCATCACCACAACACAACCATCTCCTTCACACAACCACAACCGCCACACAACCACCACAACCCAACCACCAAAATTCCTAACCACAACCACCTCCACCACAAACAACCCCCAAAATTTCTACCCACCACCACACAGTTTAGGCACCACTAACCCATCTCTCTCCTTCACCGCCTCCTTCAGATCGTCCGCTGCCTACTGAGGACCTGCCAACCTCCCGCCACACCCAGCTCTCAGATCAGCTCACTCACGCCATCAAGGACGCCATGATTCTCCCACGTCAGGTAGGTCCCCAGTCCCCACGTCGGGTAGGTCCCCAGTCCCCACGTCAGGTAGGTCCCCAGTCCCCACGTCAGGTAGGTCCCCAGTCCCCACGTCAGGTAGGTCCCCAGTCCCCACGTCGGGTAGGTCCCCAGTCCCCACGTCAGGTAGGTCCCCAGTCCCCACGTCAGGTAGGTCCCCAGTCCCCACGTCAGGTAGGTCCCCAGTCCCCACGTCGGGTAGGTCCCCAGTCCCCACGTCAGGTAGGTCCCCAGTCCCCACGTCAGGTAGGTCCCCAGTCCCCACGTCGGGTAGATCTCCTTCCCAGGCACTGTGTTCTCGCTGCCGTTCTTGTTCATCATTGTTCTTGTTCACCATTGTTCTTGTTCACCATTGTTCTTCTTCACCTTTGTTTTTGTTCACCTTTGTACAGTTCTTGACGCCAGGCAGGTTAGTTCCAGGGGATGAACTGTTTAATTAAGTTTAATGTCTCTTGATTATACGTGAGGTAATGTGTGCGTGTGTCCTCTTCTCTTCTCTTCTCTTCTCTTCTCTTCTCTCCTCTTCTCTTCTCTTCTCTTCTCTTCTTCATCGATAGACAGACAGATATAATGTATATATAGATAGACAGATAGATGGACAGATACGATATATAGATACTTAGATGTAGATAGATAGATAGATAGATAGATAGATAGATAGATAGATAGAGGGCCGAGTTATTTCCTCACCTGGGGGCTACTGGAGTATGTTATTATGGACGACCTGTGTCTGTCTGTCTGTCTGTCTGTCAGAGTGTGTGTGTGTGTTTGTTTGTGTGTATCTATCTACGTCCGTTTTAGTGTGTTTATGTGTCTGTCTGTGTCTGTCTGTGTGCGCATGTTTTCCATAACTGAGCCAGGCTAATGAAGACCCCACTTAATCCAGTTACTGTCGAGTCTCAGGATTATCTCGGCGCCATGATTCACCCCCTCGTGTCTATGTCATGGCCGGAGTGATGTATGTGGCTGTGTTGTTGTTGTATCAGAAGTTAGGAAGAAATAACACAAATTTACGAACGTTTTAAGAATCTCGGGTGTGAATGGTGGTTTGGTTGGGGGTGATTTTGTAACTAGGAACACTGTGATTGGTTATTGATGTTTTTGTCTTTTGTTTAGAATTTAGGGGTTGTTATTCTCTTAAATAAACTGGTGATGGTGGTGGACTAGGGCAGTATCAGGTATATTGTTTTATTATCGCAGTTGTGGTCTCGTCAGATAGCCCCGGGTTACACAGCTGAGGGGTATTGGTTTCGCGTTGTTGTGGCTAATTACGGCTTACACTCGAGAGATGGGAATGTGTTTAGTTTTTTTTCTTTCTTTAGTGTCCTTGTTGATAGATGGCACTGTTGTTTTTGTTGGGAGTAAAACAGATGATGGTGTTTGTTAGTGTTCCTTTCACATAATAGAGGCGTTATTCCGTTGTTCATAGATATATGGTACTGTTGTTTCTGTTGGATTTGTATGTAATTGATGACGTTAGTAATGTTTCTCTCATACAGCAGATGGCGTTGTCAATAGTGTTCTTTAACCCCTTCACCGCTGAGACGTCACTTTTATTATTTTATTTGGCTACCTCGGGCGATTTTGTTCAACACAGATAGAGGCCCGTACACAAGGGGTTAACATAGACAGTAGCCGGGCGTGTGAGTAATGTCTCCCTGCACCAACAGATGGAGGGGTACGACCCGGCCGTCTCCCCGGAGACGCCCGTCGAGGATTTCAACTCCCACACCTACGAGGACATCCTGGCCACCGCCATTCTCAACAAGGTACTGTAACCTACATCACCGCCCCACCTGGCTCCACTCATCTTCCTCTACTCGCCCCTTTACAGGCTTCTCTATTGATCACTCATATGGTTATTTAACATCATTTAACGTATATATCTCACTGTTTAATGACTTTGTAACGCATTTACAAGAGGGAATGATGTTTCTTTAGTAATCGTAAGAATATTACAACAATCATGGGTGACTCATAATAGTTTGTGGTTCCTGGTCTTGTTTCACCTGTGGGGGAGGGGGTAGAAGCATCTGTGACAGTGTGTGGTAATAATAATCACCGGAGTCACGTTCCAGCCGTTGTAGTAATCAGTGATCGTGACAGACGTAACATAGTTCTTGCTAGTAACATGACTGTAGGGGGGGGGGGGCTGAGCCAAAGATTTTGATGGAGTTAAGAGAGAACAGTTGTTAGCGTGGTTGTTAGTGTAATGGTAGTTATGGCGGGACAATGGTGGTGCAGTGGATTGTAATGGTAGCAGCAGCAAGCTTAAGACATGGTAAACTTTTGGTGGCAGGTGATGGTAAGGGTTTGAAGTCCTCACTGATAATTTTATTCTATTCTCTTCTCTAAACACTTGTATATCATTCAGGGAAATATTAAGACTGTATTTAGATTTACCGGAACAGATTAACAGGTCCTCAGAAGAGTGGATGATGGCGTGAGTGTGTGGTTCAGGAGGCTGGGGTGAGCACAGGAACAGCGCCCCCCTCCCTCCCCTCCCTCTCTCCCTCTTCATCTGCTGTTTTGGTCTCTGTGTCACCATTATATACAGCCCATGACGCTTGTGGGAAACCTGACAAGTGCGGTGGTAGATTCATAGGTCGGGAGGGTCGAGTTTTACCTCACTTGCTGCAGTCGGTGTCTTGTGATTTGTTATTAGTCGTATATATATTTTTTTATTTTTTTATATCCGTGGTTTTGTGTTTTTATTTTATTATTTTTAGCTTTTGGTTCGGTTTTATTTAATTTTTTTGGTGTTAGAGGAGGAGAAAGGCGTGTTAGTGTTAGTGTGTGTATGTGTGTCAGTCAGGCGATCAGTGTTCGGGAAGCAGCCATAGTGAGCGGAGGTGCCTGAAGCTCGCAAGCCCGCCCGCCCGCCCGCCCACTTGACGCTGCTGCCTCCACGTTCAAGCACAGCAGACCACCACGCATCTTACGCCCGTGCTCACGCCCATCTAACTACACCAGAACACGTGCTGTATTAAAACTCTTACTCCCTCCCTCCACCCACACACACGTCCAGATCTTGCCCCGTATTTACGCCCTCGTTCACGGAGATACTCACCCCTTACCCACACCCACACCCACGTAAGCTAAAGAATACACCCTCCTTACACCCACAACACATTAAAAAAAACTCAAGTGTAGACACAATTTACCTTCTACCAACAAAACTCTCCTCACCTAGCAGCAAAACAAACAAACACTGACAATTATACTAAGCTACCATATTTGTTTTTCTTCAACATCTAAAACTCCTTACCTGAAATAAAACACTTCTCGCATCTACAAGTTAGTGTTTACTCCAGGAACATAAACTTCCTCATCCTCGGTTCTGTTGAGTTAGGTGTGAGGGAACCGGTGGACTCCCTACGTCTAGCAGAAACACATACGTCCCTCATCCATTAAACTGGCAGTGTGACGCGTCCTGGAGAATCTACCACACGTATACTTCCTCCCGTGGTACTGTGACGCGAAATGTTACGTTGGTGACTAATATGGCTGCTGTTTGATGTGGTGACTCGAGTTATCATCATCACCACAGATTCGGTGTTTAAAAGAAGTTTGATTGGTTGAAATTGGTTCATCTGTAGCCAATCCCCAGCCAGTGTTGTATGGGCTGCTGCTGGCTGGCGGGATGTAACTGATGAGTGGTGATTGTGGGGTCACCTGTGGCCTTAATGACTGGATTAATTACCAGGTAAGTAACTCATTAGTGGTTCACGTCCCCCCCCCCGCCACCCCCTCCTCTCACCTCGCCTCCAGGGTACAACCAGCCTTATGGTGTCGTTGTCATTAGTGAGTCACCATCAGTCACCACCACTTGTGAGTCACCATCAGTCACCACCACTAGTGAGTCACCATCAGTCACCATCACTAGTGAGTCACCACCAGTCACCATCACTAGTGAGTCATCATCAGTCACCATCACTAGTGAGTCACCATCAGTCACCACCACTAGTGAGTCACCATCAGTCATCATCACTAGTGAGTCACCATCAGTCACCATCACTAGTGAGTCACCATCAGTCACCACCCACTAGTGAGTCACCACCACTAGTGAGCCACCATCAGTCACCACCACCAGTGAGTCATCACCAGTCACCATCACTAGTGTCACCATCAGTCACCACCACTAATGAGTCACCATCAGTCACCATCACTAGTGAGTCACCATCAGTCACCATCACCAGTGAGTCGCCATCACCATCACAGTCACATCACCAGTGGTCACCATCAGTCACCACCACTAGTGAGTCACCATCAGTCACCACCACTCAGTGAGTCACCACCAGTCACCATCACTAGTGAGTCACCATCTGTCACCATCACGAGTGAGTCGCCATCAGTCACCACTAGTGAGTCACCATCAGTCACCATCACCAGTGAGTCGCCATCAGTCACCACCAGTCACCATCTGTCACCATCACTAGTGAGTCACCACCACCAGTCAACATCTGTCACCATCACTCAGTGAGTCGCCATCACCAGTCACCATCACTAGTGAGTCACCATCACCAGTCACCATCACCAGTGAGTCACCATCACCAGTGAGTCAACCAGTCACCATCACCAGTGAGTCACCATCAGTCACCACCAGTGTCATCAGTCACCATCATCACAACATCAGTCACCATCACTAGTGAGTCACCACCATCAGTCACCATCAGTGAGTCACCAGTCACCATCATCACACCATCAGTCACCATCACTAGTGAGTCATCATCAGTCACCATCACTAGTGAGTCATCATCAGTCACCATCACTAGTGAGTCATCATCAGTCACCATTACTAGTGAGTCACCATCACTAGTGAGTCACCATCAGTCACCACCACTAGTGAGTCGCCATCAGTCACCACCACTAGTGAGTCACCATCAGTCACCACCACTAGTGAGCCACCATCAGTCACCACCACTAGTGAGTCACCATCAGTCACCACCACTAGTGAGTCACCATCAGTCACCAAGATAGAAGGTAACAAGGTACTGTACAGGTAATCACCAGTTAGGATGCCTTTTTTCAAGTATGACTTGCATAACCTAAATAAGTTCTCGTGAAGAGTAGGAACCCAAGCTTATTTCACCTGATGATTACACGCCTTAGTACTAACCTAACCTAATCTACCGTAACCAGCTTAACTTAACCTAACATAACATAACCGAACCCTCAAATTATTAGGTCTTATAAGAATATCGTTCAAATATCTAGACAACCCGTCCCTTGTAACGATCTTCAAGAGTGAGGTGCTTCCCCGTCTGGAGTACTGTCACTCCGTCTGGTCCCCGAGATATGCTAGGGACTGTTAGACTGTTAGTTGATTGAAAATGTCCAAAAGAGGGCCACCAGGCTGGTGCCAGCACTTTGGCACCTCTGCTACCCTGAGAGGTTAGAGCGCCTAGCTTCTACTACAGATGGGTAATTGGGGACCTAATTGAGGCGTATAAACATCTCAAAGGGCACTACTCAGTCGAGTGCCCTTACCTGAAGCTGGTGGATGCTCTCCCCACCAGGGGTCACAGTTCAAGGCTGAAGAAGCCACAAGCCCAGAAAACTGTGAGGGGGTAACTTTTTCGGAGTGAGAGTTGTGAACTCGTGGAACAATCTGCCAGAGAGTGTTGTGACGGTACCGAGTGTGAGCTCTTTCAAGACCAGACTTGACAAGCACTGGGGCAGGTTCAGATACATTCAGGAGCCAGTACATGCCCAGGACTTGCCAACAGTGCATAACAGAGATGTGACCGATCGCCCAAGCGGCTAACGAGCCGATCAGTAGTGAAGAGGATAAAAGTAAAAAAAAAAGTAAGGGTGTTATAATCATCAGGTGATATAAGCAGAGTTTCCTAATCTTCATGAAGTCTGCTTAATCAATTTCATAGTGATACAGTAGTCATATATATGATAGATGTAGTGGGTGGGTGACCTTTAGGTAAATAAGGCAGGTAAATATACAGCTGTGGAAATTGGAATTATGTGGTGGTTCACTGTATAGAAATTCAGTGTGAAATAGAGAAGATAGATGCTGTACCATAGCTTCAGTGATACTGTAATACACCCAAGGGTAACCAAGACCAACCAAACTACTATTCAGTGTTCCCCTAAAGTTTGAGATCTTAATTGCGTATATTTTCTTTTCCCTTCTGTGAATGCATAGAACATATGGAAACATTAAACTTGCATATACGTATTGTACATACAAAACTAAGACACCGATTATAAATATAAATCAAAACATTTTAAAAAAGATAATCTTTATATTTTTGTAATAAATGAGTTTTTTATGCAGATAGGTATTGTCAGGTTGGTACAGTATACAGATATTGTATGTGGTGTGGGTAATGTTGCATTATTTTTTACTTTTTTTTTCTTTACAGGTTTTAGAATCATGTGAGGGAGGACGGCCAAATGAGGTGACAATAGAGGTCAGCCATGATGTCACCAGCACAGACACAGATAGTGGCATGTCAGGTCAGAGAGTGGTCATCTTTGGTAACTATGATATTGTTGAACATGAAATGTGATTAATTAAACTAAAGCAGAGGGAATCATGACATGTACTGTACCTCAGGTGGAGCCAAGGAGAGTCGGCGAGGACGACACAAAAGAAGTGAAGTGAGTGAGGCTGGGTCAGAGGGCAGTGAGGAGAGATCTCTGACTCCTCCTCGCCATCCTGCCCACAGGCCAACCACCATCAGCCCTGACCAGGGTGTAGTCACGGATGATTGCTGGGCCAATGCTGTCACAACAGAAGGTGCACCACTACAATTTAAGGTGTGCTTACTGTAGAAATGCTCAAACAAATAGAAATGGTTTAAGTGAATTTTGGTATGAGAATTTTCCAACGACATTCACCAGTTTTAAGCTTCGTACAGTACCAGCTAAAGCATGAGATTATTAGTACGCTGTCTCACCCTTAGATTGAGGAACACGTCGAGGAGATCACCACCCACCACCTGACTGATGATGACCAGGACCTGGAGGGGATCTATGATGAAGACGTCAGTGACTCTGGCGGGTCGTGGAGAGGTTCCCGCTGTTCCTTGGATGACTCAAGAGAGAGGAGACACCATAAAGTGTCTCACCACTCAGTGACAGAAGATCCTCTACTGTCCACCATTAACGTTGCTCTTCCTGACCCCGCCCACATCACTTCCAGGAGGGTGTCATTTCCCGAGCTTGGTGCTGATATTATTCATGGTCAGTCTTCAGTGTGTGTCTACAGCGTTAATGCTTCCACAAGGCATGCAATATTTTCTAGACTATTGAAAAAGAGACAGCATGATAGATAATTAAAACCAAATAATTATTACAAGAAATACTGTACTGTAATAGTAACCTCACATACTGTAGCAGGTTATGAGAGTACTGTAGGTGCCTGGTTGTGAGATTAAGTAATAAGAACTAGTGAAATGACTGGCATAAATAATGAAAGTGAGGTTCAAATATTAATTACTGTACTGTATCTGAAAAAAAGTTTGCAAGGGATGACTGCCATGATTCACTGTAGCCTTTGTATTTTATGCTGGGATACTGTATAGAGGATGCATTTCACAAAATTAGCTTTTACATTGAAACCTCCAATTAGCTGACTATATGGGAGAGTTTAGTCCATTAGATTAAAGTCTTTTATGAGTGAAATCTCTACCTGACGGACTATATTACAGTACAGGTATATCCATATGATCAAGGTTGTTAGATGGAGGTTTCACTGTATTTGGAATTTTGAAAAAAATCAGGTACAAACAGCAAACTACAAGCAGTTGTTATTGAGTTTTATTCAATATTTTATTCAGTCATAATCATTCTACCAAGCATTTGTAATACGTGATGAAAATATTTTGTCAGAAAGCATTGAGAGACAAGAGCATGTTATCATAAGTTCAGTACCGGATTATATCATTGATTTTAGGTAGTCATGTACTGTTTTTTGTCTGTCATTGAGTGTGTATGTACAGTACTTGACATTTCAGACTCATATGCTGATGCAGACGAGTGCGAGGCTGGTCCCGGCGACATGGTGGTGGACTCGGAAACATGGGAGGAGAACTGGCTCTTCCGTCGGCAGCGGCTGGTGGGGGCCGCTGGTTCTGACCCTGTCACCATGCTCATCCCAAACCCCGAGGCCCATGTTCCAGCCACCGTGGGCAACAGGTTGGTGTCTCACTTTTCTTCTCTCCATTATTGTGTTGTATCTATCCAGCATTCAGCCTCAGTCATCCTGTGGAAGGAAGATTTTTTTTTTTAAGATAGATAGAAGAGAACACCAAAGTTCAGTTTGTCCAGGCACCATCTTTGTCCATATTTAGGCCCAGTCCAGTTTTTAGAGGTTCAAGGTTATTTTGTTCAAGAGACAATTTTTACTACAGTTGAGATTTACTAATAAAATTTCCCCCACTTCATCTTTATGGTGTCTAAATTATAAATACAGATTGTTAACATAAGAAAGGGTAAAAAAAGGATTTTATGCAATGTAGCAACAATACTGTGGAGGTGTTGTTACTACTTGAACCTTCCTACAGCTTTGATAATAATGCTGTAGACCTCTGCTGTTGGGTTTAATATTTTTTCCACAAAAGAAAGTACCTATAGAAATTTTTACAGATTTATGCAAACATAGTTGGATTATTTTTATCTTAAGTTGTTTTACGTACAGCTGTACTTGAATACTATGTAAGTTATGTGTACCTTGAAGACATTCTATTTTGAAAAATTTTGTATTCTAAGGAGCTTAAAAATTAGATTCTGTACTGTAGAGCAGGAAGAAATACTGTATTGTACTGTATTTGGTGATAAATGTAAGTCTTTTTAATTTAGATTGGTATACTGTACATCAACTAGAAGGCCACCACACTGTAATACTAATACATGTGTTGATGGTTATGCTTCATCTATTAATGTTAAATGCTTGTATAGATAATGGGATTTATAATTTTCAAGGTACTCTTACCCACTGAGAAGTAACCTGTGCATAACACTTTTATCTCTGAAACTCATATTGTTTATTGTGACTGAATATATAAACACAACCATGAATTCTTCTGTAGTTTAACTTTTTATTTAGATGACAGTACATTAAAAACATTTTCATAAAGCTATTTGAGGTGTGTGAAGAGGGATGATAATTAATCTTATATTAGAGACAGAATATTACACTTGACTATTCTCACAGGGATGTGGATGAATTGTCAGAGCTGTCGGAGCAACAGTCATTTGGTAGTGGAGAGCCATGGAGCGACAGTGAGGGTGAAGGAGAGGCAGGGGAGAGTTACCAGCCCAGCACAGCCTCCAGAGAACTCTCCACCTTAGCAGGTATGTTAGAACAAGAACACTACATTTACATGAACCTTTAACTATATATACAACCATTTTGAATTATACCTTGGTTAAATATTATTGTCTTACTGTTTACCATTGTTTGTGTACATGTACTGTCTAGATACTGTAGATAGTTTTTATACTTGCGCTGCCTAGGATTTTGTATATCTGTACTGTCTAGGTACAGTATGTTATTTATATACCTGCATGGGTTGTACAGCCTCATTCAAGATTCTTCGAACACTGCTGGAGACAGTTGGCAACTCAAGGCCGTTTGTTTACTATAGTACGTAGTAAAAATTATGAATGAATGTAAAAGGTAATTGGTGATTGATCACTTACTTGCCGGTTGCTTAATTAATGGTTGGGCTTTGTTGTTTCATATTATAATGTACGGCGTACTATAGTAAACAAACGGCCTTGAGTTGCCAGCTGTCTCCAGTAGTGTTCGAAGAATCTTGAACGAGACTGTACATTGTATACCTGAATTTTCTCTATCCAGTACATGATGGACTTTATACCTGTTTTTTCTCTATACTGTACATGCTAAATTAATATGAAGTTGTATGATAAATTTACTGAATAAATGTCCATCTTATCTGAAGTACCCAATAAACCTTCGCTACTAATATCAGGCAGTAATTTGGGATGAGCAAATACCATTTAAAATTTTGATAATTTTTTCAGGAGAGATTGTGGCAGAGTTTGCTCAACAGGACCAGGAGTACACAGTAGACTACAGTGTTCCCAGCAGAGTCACAACAGCATCCACAACACAGCAGGGAGGTGGCAGGAAGCACTCACCCACACAGCCTTCACCTACACAGTCTCATAAATCCTCAACTATGCCACAGTCAGTTCATTATCTCTACACAAGTCATAAAGAAGTTCCCACAGGCTATCATGATGGGAAAACTGTAGAAGGAATAAGAAATCCTGTAATTGTTGGAAAGCCACGAGTAGATCCAGATACTATATCAGACAGTGAGAGACCAGTGCCAAAACCCAGGTATGTAAAGATTTTCTCTAACTCTTAGCCTAAGTTTCACCTCTGTTCGCAATCAGCAATCAGGACCGTATAGATGTGCTTAATGCTTCCTGTGATTGACTTTTTTTTTTACTCCCTGCTTTGATTGTCAATATAACAGTGCTTTGTTTTGTTTGGACAACTTTTCCATCACTGTAGACTGTCTAGACTCTAGATAGTCTACAGTGATAAGCTTTCTAGGCTAGGAATTTCCTATTAAAGGCTTTAGACTCTAGAGCAGTGATTTTCAACCTTTTTCACCTCACGACACAGTGAGCCAGGCACTAAAATGGTCGAGCCACACTATCAGTATTTAAGGATAGATTTGATCATTTAAAAGAAAATGAATGATAAGAATGTGTTCATAATTTAAAACTGCCATTTGGGCTTTTAATGAACAACACATTTGTTTATTTATTGCATCATTGAAAAAAAGGAGTTTAATGTGCTCCATAAAAGTACCAGTAATGTCAAAACATATCCAAATGCTATTTTTTTAAATGCTATCCAAATGCTATTTAATCTCCTGCGGCACATCTAAGGGATGCTTAGCGGCACACTAATGTGCCGCGGCACATTGGTTGAAAATCGCTGCTCTAGAGCCTTTAATAGGAAATTCTTAGTCTAGAAAGTTTATACCAACCAAGTGAGGTCGGGTGGAATAGTATTACTGTATTAAAACACATTATCTTTAGTTATGGTTGATGGTGTCAATCTTTTGCTGTTTGTGATGATATTACATCATCATTTTATGTTGCTGTATGACACAAACATCTTCAGATTATGGAGATGATTATACAGTATTTGTTTCTGTTCAATAGGAAACTTTCTTTGGCCACAACACCTCCTTCCAAGACATCTATGAAGTCTCCTCTGCAGCTTCTACCATCTCCAGCAGAAGATTTGACCATTTTAAGTCCTCCCTTGGATATGCCTCACCCAAAGAATGTATCCAGTACAAGTGAGACAGTGTGGTTTGTGGAAACTCCAGAAGATTATACAGTGATGCAAGGTCGTACGCTGCGTCTTGCTTGTCAAGTTAACACCAAGAAGCCTATGGGTGAGAGTCATTGTTCAGACAAGATAGAAAAATTTTAATGTTTTAGTTTACTGATTTTTTATAATATACAGCATTTTGAGAGCATGGCTGTTGACTTTAATTTTTAAAATAGATTATAAACAAGACAATTTGGCAGTTTAGTACAGAAAATATAATTGTTTCTATACAGTGGCCCCTCGGTTAACGAACACAATTCGTTCCACAGAGTCGTTCGTTAACCAAAAATTTTGTTAACCGAATCCAGTGTTTCAATGGGATATTGTGTAATTGGTTCCAGCTCACAGAAAAGTACATACAAAGTAAAAAAAATGCAGTGAAGTACACTTACTTTAAGGTGTGTATGTAGAAGGTTCCTGGTTGATGATGATGATGGGAATTAGAAGTGGGGGTGGAGGAGAAGGTAGAAGAGAAGGAAGTGGGGATGGATCACCTTTCAGGGACCCATGCTTGATGCAGTAATTTCACCAATAAAATTTTAAGTTCACTAGGTGTAAGTCAAGATTATTTTATTTAAATCAACACTGCACTGCGCTATATATATTATCAATATGTTAACTAAATTTCAGAATGACCAATAATTTTAATGTAAAAATGCAAAAATATTCAAGAAACCAACAAAATTGATGTTCACTCCACTGTAAACAAAGCCAAACTGACGCCTGGTGGGTGAGTCAAGCGACTCGCCCTGTACTGCATATATTATCAATATGTTAACTAAATTTTAAAATGACTAATAATTTTAATATCAAAAATTCAAAAATATTAAAGAGCACAACTTTCTTGATATTTAATCCACTGGAAACGAATGGAAGCATAGAACAGATTACTGAATTGGCAGACGAGCCCATCAGCTGATCAGCTGATACTCACAACAAAACGTGTTTTTCGTGAGGATTTTGTTAATCGAGGTTTTGTTCGTTAACCGAATTGAAGATCCTTATGGGAGGTAATTCGTTAACCGAGATTTCGTTCATCGAACCGTTCATTAACCGAGGGACCACTGTAGTCATATTAATATTACTGTATGGTACTGTATCAGAATTTTTTATATTTATGACTAAACCAGAGTAAACATTACACTGCTGCTCAATATAAAGTGCTGTATCAAAGAAGGTATCTCCATATTTAAGCTCCATCCCCATCAGGTTTGAGTTGGTATCACAACGGTTCTTTGGTCCCTGTGAATCATCGCGACTACTGGGTGTTTCGTCGAGGATCCCATCATCACCTACACGTGTATGGCATGACACCTTCTGCAGCTGGTGTGTATGCTGCCGCTGCTTACACTACCACCCACTGTGTTTGGGTCTTCTGTAGAGTACAACATAAAGGTATAAAGACAAGGAGTTGGCTTGTGTTATGGTAGTAGCACCAGTAGTATTAGTGGTGTGGTGTAGTGGTGGTTTTAGAAATAGGACTGAGAAACCTTATTAAGAAACTGTTAATTGAATTATATTTTGATTCTAAGCAAACTTTTTAGTTTTATTTTGCTGTGTATTATTTCATAAATTTATCTTTTTCTTTCCTTATTTCAGCAAACTCAAGGCCTCAGAAACGTCCCACCTTTACAAAAGGGTTGTCAGACATCACCCTTGAGGAGGGTGGAGAACTGAACCTTCAGTGCCAAGTACAAGGTCACCCAGAACCTCGAGTCATCTTCTCAAGAGGCCTAGTGAAACTAGAACCTTCCTCCCGGCTTGCTGTAGGTAAGTAGTTGGTCAGGAATAATTTTTATAATCTTGTGCAATTTTGGAAATCTCTCTGCTTGTACATTATGATCTCCACTGTAATGCTCCAGTTAGGAAAAATCTTAAAGACAGGGATGGATATAACCTGTTGTTGAAACATATCACCATTTCTCCATTACATGTAACATAATAATTTTCCTTCACCCATCTCCTTGTAGAGAGTGATCAATATGGTACTTGGACACTAAGACTGGCAGAGTGCACACTAGCAGACAGTGGGGAAATCACCGCCACTGCTTTTAACATGATGAGCACCATAACCACCCGATGTCACGTCAGGATTGTCCCAGAAGGTACCCCTATTCCTCAACAAGATCGCACTGACACTGGGAGATTGAAGCCATCAAGCTCACAAGTAAATAAACAGGTTTGCATTCCACCCACTGTAATAGTCTTTAATATTTAATGTGTAAATGTGTATTGGGGTTTTAATTTTTACTATTTACCTTTATCTAACTAATGAGGAATGTAACCTAATTTTTCCCATAAGTTATGTTGATTGATGTGTGTGAAGTACTTGACTGTATGCTGTTTTAGCTTGTGTATGTGAGTCTTTAACATCATATGATAAGGAGCACTTTACTGTTTTAGCTTGTGTATGAAGATTTTTTTCATGAGTGATGTATTTGGCCTTGTAACTGAGGCCATGCTGGGTTTGGACTGACATTTGTTAATGACATGTGTGTGTAATCCAGTTGATGACATCACAATCCTTGTGATAATAATTACTGTACTATGAATGACTTGAGAGAATCGGCTTTAGCAAAAAGTATTTGAAGTAAAATCTTATATGCTTTCTATACATAAAGATGTTAATCGCATATCTATACATAAAAGATGTTAATCCTTTTCCCTGTTCAACTAATACTGTAATGTGTAATTGTTAATTTTTTTTGCAGGTCAGTTTTACACGTACTGTATGATGACATTTTTACATTTGGAAGTAACGATGAGCTGCATGTACTGTATTTAAATTCATAATTAGAATGATTTGGTTAGTAGTATTAAGAGCCAGACAAAATTCACCAGGATACCCCTGACTGGCATTTTTAATGTGTAGGGGGACAATGACGGCAGTTCCCGCTCCATCTTCGAAATTCTCCAAAGATACCTCTTGTGCTGCTGGGGCCGCCCTCGAATAGACGACTCGACCCCACTCCTCCTTCAGTCCTGAGGCAGACATTTGTAATGGACATTTCCAACACTGATTAGATATATGTAACGGCTGCCACCACATTTTCCTAGACCCAGAAAATCTTTACACCATTTTTTGTTTTTTTCAAGAATTCCAGCCTCTGCCTGTGTCATTTTGCTGTTTGTTTGGTACTTTTTTATTTTTGTAGGTTTATGTTCAACATAATTTAAACTGGTCTGTCTTGCAGTACTTTTTTATTTTACAGGTTGTTGTGTATTGTGCCAACCTTTAAGGGATTTGGCATGTTATATATTTTTTCTAATCAGACCACTGACAGTTTGTTCAGTATACTATACTTGGTTCTTCAAAGAAACTTATGCTTTTTTAATTTGTGTTTAATCTTTTTTTTTCTTTATTATGTAAGTGAAGAGTAATTTCCACTTCTCTGCACACAATATTTGTTGTTGCATGTGTGTACAGTACTGTACAGGCTGTTGCTTGCCCTTAATAAGCAAGTTAATGTTAATACTTAAGCTGTATTAATATTTTTTCAACAAGCTTCTGGCACACTCGGAAATACTGCACTTTATTGATAGTAAAGCCAGACTTAAAATCTATAACTGAATATTAGTCACACAAGCTTTTAATACCAGATGTTAACAATAATATCTCAGCCATATATACTGTCACCAGTACCTCGACTAGTGTCACTAACCAGCCATGTGGTGTTCTCCCTGGCAGCAGGACCCCAGGCCAGGTGGCAGGCACAATCGCAAGAAACACAACCCTGGCTCCTACCCCTCCAACACCACACGGCCCACCTCGGGGAACCTACTAACCTCTGCCAAAACATCCAGTCTGCCACATCGGGACCAATTAACTACATCCTCAGGTGTTAACACTGACGTTGATGACCTGGATGATATTCAGCAGGTGCCAACAAGACCAGGTATAACTCAGGAGGATGTGTTCAGCTCTACGTATGGGCCAACTGTAGACAACGAGCATGTTCTCTCTCATGACCAAACAACTGTGGATGAAGACAGTGACTTGAACTCTTCAGTGTTGCTTGATGGTGGCAGAGCTTATAAGTGTAAAGTGCTTGGGATGGATAAGTCCTTAGAACCTATAGAGTACGGTGAAACAATAGATAATTCAACTACTGATGGTGGTAATAGTGCTGATGCATATGCTCCATTATTCAAGGATGCTTCTGCCAGCTTAGAATATTTGGCAGAAGATATTAGTAACCCCTCGTCATCTTTGTGTGAAGAATTCCCTAATCTTGCTTCCAATGGCTTAATTTCTCCATCCAGCTCTCCCTGTGGTGCTAGTCTTGGCCTTGACTATTATCCCTCCAGTCATGACGATAACCCCTCAGACAAAGAGGAACTGCCAGTGATAATGTCATCAGTTTTAAGTTACTCTTCCTCTTCAACTGCTATAGATCAAAGAGTTAACATAGACCCTTCAGTAAACATCAGCCCCCTATTCCCTCTAACCACTGACCAGCTGCATGCTTATACCACCCTGAGGGACCAACATCAGGAGCATGAAGAATGCCCTCAGGGTGATAAACATGATCCTGCTTGCCTGTTAACTGCATCGCGTCCTCCTACAGGTAACTGTGCGGGTTCTTAATGGTTCTTCAGTACATATGTGTGTTAGTTGGCTTCAGGTGATTTTTCAAATTGCATGGGCTGAAAGAAGTTCTACAATAACTTATCTCTTGTTCTGTAGGAAGATAACTACTTAACATTATTCAAACTTAGATGTGTTGTCTGGTACAGTTGTGGACAAAAATACTTGGGCAGGGAGGGAGTGTAAGCTGTGTCATCCTCATAATTAAAAAAAAATCGAATTGTGGTGTGGAAAGAAAGTCGTAGAGTTTTAATTGCCATCTCCGTGCTACGTTGCCAAGTCTTCACCTCTCCATCTCCCTCCCTCCCTGCCATTTTTTTCCCCAACTCTTCACCACTCCATATAACATTTTCAGTGAATTTGAAACTAGACGATAGTAAGACATACCAGTGAGTTATAATATTTCGAGCACTGTAACATTATATCATCTAGTTTCTGCATCTTGTGGTCTTCATTAGTATCCTTAACAGGAAAGTGAACAAGTAACAAAAGTATACAAGTTATACAATTGAAGGTAGATATCCACTTTTCTTAGAAGGACAAAGAGCGTATATGGTTGTCAACTTGTTTTTGTTTTTTTATACTGTACTATATATCTGTTTCTGCCAGGTACAATTGCAGACAGAGAACATCGCAAGTGGGAGGCTGCAGTGTCATTGCCTAACAACCCTTATGCCCCTGAGCGCCTTGTTCAGCGCCTCTCACTTTGCCACACATCAGACCACACACCCCAGCCTCGCCGAACTCTCAGTGTGTAAGTCGGCTCCACATGGGTCATATTTGCCCGTATTACAGGTGGCTGTTTTGTCAAATTACTGTAATTTAATAAAATCATGTAAATCCAGTTTACAAAATATTTTCAAATACTATGGAATCTAAAATAGGAAATTATGGAGTACAGTAAAGATATAGAGTGATACGTAATAAGTTCTGACTTTTCATGTGTGTAGAGAATTCCCCGAGGAGGGTGAGAAGGAGGAGGTGGATCCCAGCCTGCGCGATGGAGTGCCACCAAAAACTGACCTTAACAGGTACAGCCGGGATTACTATGTAACTCCAGCCACTGGTGTCAGGGCTTCTTCCAAAAACTTCAAGCACCAGAAAAGTCAACAACAGCAGCATCAAGAACCTCAAGCACATCAACAAAAGAAGCAACATCAGCAGCAGCAGCAGCCAGGCCATCAACAGCAGTCATACAAAACTCATCAACATCTGACACTCAATGGACATCAAGCAGTAACGAGGACATCATCAGACTTTTCTTCAAATGCCCAGGTATGCAGCCAAGTTCCTTGTAAGGATTCCCAAGCACATTGCATGTCAAGGAGTGGGGATATGAAGCTGAAGAATTCCTCTCCCATATCAGAAGTTTCCATTCTTCCAGTCACTGCTTCTCATTCCTGTTTCCCACAACCACACACTAACAATCATAATGCTGATGTGTGCTCTAGTAGTGAAGGCATCTCTGACACTCCTGACTCTGATGCATGTATTTCTAACATTGGTGAAGGTTCTGATTTAGTGTTTAGCCGTATAATTGAACGTTTCAACAAGAGTGGTGGTTTTCAGGAAAGTAAAATAACAAGAAAGTCAGAGCCACAGAGAGATTTCCTGTCTTGTAGTGCTACTGACAATGGATTAAATTCCTCTCACTCACCCAGCCAAACAACTCCATTCCAGAGGTCCTCTTATACACATTCATCATTACCTATTCGTTCTTCTACACCTGTCCATGCTCCTCCTGTCCATCATTCTTCTGTAACAGGCTCTTTACAATTTATTCCTTTCTCCACATCAACTCCTTCCACCACCCCTAACATCTCCCCACTCTCCAAGCTTGTAACTCCTGTAACACTTGAGAGCCCTGGCATAGGGGAGTTAGAAGAGGAGTTGATCCGTCATGGTTTTGCGCGTGCATCTTTCAGGGCTCGTAAAGCTACTAAAGGTTTTAGCCTTAATCCACTGTTTGAAGATGAATCAAAGTCGCTTGAAAGCCAAGATGCAGACAAAAAAAGATTTAAAAGTGTCGCACCTCAAAGTTTGACATCTTCTTGTATCTCGGATCCATCATCAGATTATTACAGCTCGTATGAATCCCTGCCGTATCTTTCATCCTTCAGTCGTGAAGGAAGTCTAAGACTTCCTAAGCCGCAAGTAACAGAGGAGTCCTTTGAAAGGCTGCCTGGGAAAGGTGGTTCTCTGAGACTTCCTCAGAAGAAATCAAACCTCAAATCATGGGGAAGTTTTAAGTATAAGAAAAGCATGATGTTTTGAAGTTTATTAATAGAGTTGGGAGCCACTGTATGAGAACAACTGTAGTGGCTGTGGCAAAATAGAGCTTGTTTGAGTAATTTGTCATACAATTAATTACATGCAAAGATAACAGCTGTTTCATCATATTCATTCAGTGGAGGTACTGGGTAAACCCTTATACAGTATACAATACTCTCGATTTAATGGAATCCGATAAAACAAACTCGATTTAGCGTAAGGAATTTTTTCCGTTATTTTTCGCTTGATTTAGTGAACTAGTTAAAAATCGAGAATAATTCTGTTAATACACTCACTCCTATGGAAACACCTCAGATACATATGTACAGTCGGGGTCAAAAGTCTTGAACACTTGACAGTATTTGGCATGTAAGTACCTGAAGATCCTAGGTATTAAGGAGAGTTTTATCCTATTTTGTGGTTCAGGCATAATATGTGATGACAAGTAGTGTTATTGGTATATCCCAATCATATATGTATAACTCAGAAGTAGATGCCAGGTATTGTTAAGTGTTCAAGATTTTTTTTCCTGACTGTACATAGAAACATTAGAAACATTATTCATGGATTACCTTAAACTAGGGGGTTCAGTGTTTGTTTTCAATTTATTCTATTATTTTCAAACATTTTCAATTGATAGCTGCACTTTTTTTTTTACTTTCTCCCCACACCACTTCCTTTCTGAGACTTCTGAGAGACTTTCGGCGTGATGTCTAAGCACAGTACAGTAGCTAGTTGAATGAGAGGTAGACCGAGAGGTAGCAGTAAACAACACACACGGTGGCGGTAGGACACAGACTGAGCAGATGTAAACAAATGCCACACGCCAAGCAGCGGAATTTAATGGAACCGCGCTCGCTTTAGTGAAATAGTTCGCTAAATCGAGCGAAAATAATGGAAATTTTTATTTAACGGAAAGGAGTTAAATCTAGAAAATACTGTAGTCTGAGAAATCATGTTGACATTAAAGCTTTTGATAGAGTTAGTCGGAAGACTGTGGTCAGGGAAGGTGGAAAAGAAACCACTTTTTGCTTATTGTGAAATTCATTTGTTCATTTAGTCAACTGATGACTTCATGCTTGACTTATCTCAAGAGTTTCTTAGTAACCAGTTGATACATTTATAGGAAAATTGCAGTATGAATTTTCTTACTGTGCAGATGAACCTTTCGGAGAAGTTCAGTACATATTTTATTGTTGTATTGAATGGCCTTATTTAGGGTGTATACTGAGTAATTTACAGTAAACTTTTAAGTAATATACAGTACTATTGTTACTTCACTAAATTTTGGGGTTTCATATACAGTACCGTAGAGGATGATTTGATTAGAAATTATACTGCACAGCCCAATGGTCATGAAGCATCCATAGAGGCTTGTTGACGGTTCCATGAGTAATATAAATCCTCTTTGTAACATTAACGTTGGTCTGTGTGTGTGCGTGCGTGTTTTTTTTTTCTTTTTTTTTTTTTGGCCCATCATAAGCATATATCTCTCTTTAGTGGTTTCTGAAGAATGTAAATGATGGAAGCAGATAGATATTGACTGTTCATGTATTATTACCATTATACAGTAATCAAGAAGTACTGTTAATGATTAATAGGATAGTGATACAGTTGCACATTTTTATCAGCAGATATTAATTAATTCAGGGCTCCATGTGCTGTAATATATTGAAGGAAAGAGGTTGAAAGTGTACACAAATTAAAGATCGACATATTTATTCTAGTGGTGACCCAATGATCTGTAGAAATCTTAGGAAGATATTTATTCCCTTGTGTATGGGGTCCCCTCCATCCTGAATAAAATTGTCTGATGTTGGCCAAATAAAATTTTAAAAGTGGCATCTCACAGTGAAGGGGTTAAATTGTCGATTGGAGCTTAAGATATCAATATTTTGGTTAGAAACTCCAGCCTCCAAACTGCTCTGGGTATAAGACAGAGTGACTTGATGTAGACAGATAACAAGTGAAAGGAGGAATTTGAAAAGAAAGGCAAATCACATGAACATTAACTTATTGTATGATACAGTTGGTAAATTTTAGAGTGACTTCTGTCAGCTACCATCACTATAAGGAACTGATGGACCAAAATCTGTCACTTGGCAGGATGAAGAACCAGATTGTTTAGGTGGTACAGTATTGTATTACTTTAGTGTTTTAGTATTACAGCATTGGTTTGGTGGTAGCAAAGGAAACACAGGGTCAAAGAGACAACTTTAGGGCTGGCAACCATCATCAGGTCATCTGTGGGACCGGTGATCATCATCAGTGAACGTTTCACGTTTCTTGCTTTAATTTTTTTTCTTCTTCATCACATGTGGGGCCGGAAGTATGGAATCATTTACTACTGGTTAAGGGCTAAGTACAGTACTGTAAATAGAAACTACTCATTGAAATACTGGCAATCTTACTAATTAGATATAAATTTATCATTAGAATGTTGGTACAAGAATACATATTATTATTTACATTAAACAAATTCCTAGAGGCTCAAAACCTAGCTAAACTCAGCACTTGATCATGTTATTTGGGGTAACGGCAGAAGAGAACACTTGATCTCGTGTTGTTATCTGGGCACATACACTGATAAACCCTGTCTCTCACACATTCCTCCCTTACAGCACTACTGCTGATATCTGATAATAAGAGATAATAACTGGTTAGATAAGAACTTTCATTAAAAACTTGTATTGTGTGATGAGATAACACATGGCAGTAGTCTGAGTTGAATTGTTGGAAGTGGTGGGTAGTGGAGGTGCTTAAGTCTTCACAAGGTCCTGGAACACTTTGTGACATTTACACTGTTGGTAAGATTGTTTCTGTAATTCTCACTCTGATGTTTTTCTTTAACACTTAGTATAATTTTTATAGTGCACTTTATCAGTCTGCTGTACAGTACTCAGGGAATTGGTTCTACAGGAGTTGATTATTATCTTTAGTATGTAGGTTCTTTAGAGTACAGTACTTCTGTAGATGTAAACTAATTATTCAGAAATCCTCAGAGAAACAGCACTGCTTCTCTGTTACAACTAGAACCATAACAATACCTCACAACACTTCGTTATTGATAATTAGAGCTATTTTTTTTACAGTGGTTATAGTTGCTGTATAGACTATTACCAGTTTATGGAATTTATCCATGTGTGGGGAAGAAAGTACTTATTTTTCAATGATAATATATATAACTCTTGCTTGCTAATTGATTATTGCTAGCCTATAGATCTGACTGCTTGTGTGTGTGACTGTTATGAATTTTTCTATGTTCAGTAGCAAGACAAGACAGGCATCCTCTTCAGTACCTCAAATTCTGGTAAACATGATACATTGTAAATAAATCTAAACATACTGTACTGTATTTCTCAGTGACCATCACATCTCTTCACAAAAGCATGTTTCTCATTAGCATATAATTAGCTTGAGTGATTAAATAGTCTTGACAACATAGTCCACTGTTTTGTAGATTATTTCTGAAACAAATATTATCATTCACACTAGAGAAGTTAAGAAGTAGTGTAGGAATCATCTGATGTGTAACTTTTGACACACACACACACATATATACATTGCAGATGTAATAAATCAGTGTATTCACTCCCAGTAAATACTACTTCTTGCACTGTCACTATGTTGAAATGAACTGTAGTTTGAGCTTTTCCCCATCTAGTTATTATATATCTTATTTGTGTTACTTATGTTACTTGTATATTATTTGTAATTCGAAACCCATTCCCCAAATATGTAACTGTATATTTTCAGCCTTCTGGCTGCCAAGCTCTTTCAATACACACACACACACACACACACACACACACACACACACACACACACTCACACTCACACTCACTCACTCACTCTGTCATATTTGAAAATTTGACAGCTGAGTAAGTTAGATAATTTATGATACTAATACAGTATATGACCTAATTTCTGTAAATAATTTTGAATAATAAACCTGTTACTAATTATAGCTTTGTGTGATTATAGCTGCTTTCTCTTTAGACAGT